CCTCCTCCTCCTGCTGCACTCACCGGCGGCTGCGGGGCTGCTCCTCTCATATATTCTTACCCCTCTCTTTGGCTGCAGTTTGCTCTTTCACAGTAAATTTTTCCCCATCTTAATTCTGTTATCCCAGAGGCACTACCACCACCGCAGATGGGCTCGGCCTTGGCCAGCAGCGGGTCCATCTTGGAGACGTCTGGCACTGGCTCTATTCAACATGGGGGAAGTTTTTGGCAGCTTCTCACAGACACCACCCCTGTAGCCCTCCCCTGCCAAAACGTTGCCATGCAAACCAAATATAATTACTTTCATGACTTGCACTATGGGCCCTGCATTTATTTTTCCTAAATATGGCAATACAATTCTCATTCAAATTTGATGACTTCTAAACCAGAATTCATCTACTCTCATTCCTTCAGCCAGGAGTCTGTACAATCCAGTAATGCTTCAGAGTTAGTACTTTATGGCGTTTTTTCATCCCTAAGCTACATGACAATCTAGAATTAAAATTTTTCCTCTCATTGCATGAGACAGGCCAGGATGCCATGTAAGATCTTCAGGAGTTGCGGTTGTTATGCAAAACTAAACCCAGAAATTTCTTGTGCTTATATTTTAATTAATATATTTTCATCACATCCAGCCTTGAAAATTAGCTACGACTGTTAATACAGGTGGTAACTTTTACTCCTGCTATAAAGTGGAAGGAATGCAAGGGCACTCACCTTGCTCCTTCACTCCAAACAGCAGCACACTCTCTAGTCTCACTGTCCCTTTCAGCCTCAAACTTCTTGCCACAGTTGTGTCCTCAAGCCCACCGCAGGATGTTTCTGTCTCTTTCCTCAACACTTTATGTCCAAACTGTATTACACAACATCTTCAGGAAGTATAAGAATTTCTCACAGGCCTGCTAATAATCTCACTGATTGACTAATCTTGCAGCAGATCCAGTAAATAAGAAAATACAAGAACCAGAATTAAGCAGGTTGTATCTTCCCACAAGCAGAGGAGATCTGAGATCCAGCAAATCCCAGTCAAAGAGTGCAGATGAAGGAAGCTGCTTTAAATACAAAAGCCACAGCTGAAATTCTTTACACATCAGAGAAATGTTGCCCTGATAGCAATTTTTCAGGACCAAATTTGAACTGTTCTTCCTATCCAGTGAGAAGGGTGGAAAAGTACAAGCCAAGTTACTACTCAGAGCACAAGCAGATAATGGAGTATACGGCACAACTTCTACAGAACTTCTACTTCCAAGTATGTTATTTTGGTACCTAGCAAGAGAAAAAGCTAGAACAGATTTAAAGTGTTTTGACAAAACCCTTTTTTCCATTCGGAAATGCTGTTTGTGAAGATGGAACTATTACCAGAAGACATTGTATCAAGACGCTGTCACCAGTATCAGAATACCTAAGAGCCAGGTGCTTAAGGCATTCTTTTGGCTTGGAATGGCCTACTAGACCACACCAAACCCCAAGAATATGTCCTTTTTCTGCCAGTTTTTAGGACACCCTTACAGTAACAGGCACTGCAATCACCTAGTAGCACAAATGGTTTATAGGGATTCATTGACTGGGCACAAAATAAAATACAGATGCCAAAACAGTCATTTTTCTGCCAGCACAGTAGAATTACTGCATTCTAGCCAGCCTGAGGCTATAAATAGTAGAAAAAGCACACAAGGAGCTATGTTACCAATTGAGAATTTGCATATTTAAAGGACTTGAAATGAAAAATGCCTGTGAAAAGTAGCATGTATTGTTTGAATGTGGTGTCAAAAACAGGGAACTAACTTAAAATAGGGGTTTGCTTTTTTTTGTTTGTTTGCACTTTTAAGATTCATTGTCTAGGTTAGTTTATTGCTGTTCCCAATCTGACAACAAAGTCAAGTCAGATACATCATCGACTGAGTTACTCTGCATGTACTACAAACATCACAAGACGACTTCAGAAAACCAGATGTGACGTACTGCTTTAGACACTGCATCAGAACCTCCTCTTACTGATGTGTAGCTTGTTACATTCTCACAAGTTCAAATTGCAATCACACTTAGGACACTGTAAAATGGTAAAGGGTGTCTTACATTTGTCTCAGTTTCCATTCTTCAATGTTCAGATCAGGACACATGCTTCCCCTGCTATCCTCACCTTACTGTCTGTTGCTCTGGGAGTTTAGCCAAGAAAAGAAGACGACTTACAGTTCTGGCAATTCATTCTAGCCTCAGAATCAAAATAGCATCACTGTCTTCAACACTGTGACCATCAAACAATAGTTTGTATAAACTCAGTTCTTACATCTTTGCAAATTCATTGCCTTTCAGTAACCTTACACTCCTACCAGAAACTTAAACCACACAACTACAGACAGAGCAGTAATAGAATTCAGTTAGCTTTGAGTTGTACCATTAAAAACTAAAACGTGTTTTCAGCACATTTGTAACAGCTGTATCTGAGTTGCCTTACTGAAGGCCAAGGTGAACAGCCACAACACTTGAAATTAGTATTTGAAATGTTCCCCAACTAATTGCTCAAAAACATCTTTGTTAAATTCTTACCAAAAATATTTTGATTTATAGAACTCCACCATCCACCAAAACCAAGAGTTTATAACAATCGATATATAAAATATATTTTCAGGGCTTCCTTTTTGAACAAATAATGAAACAAAGATGAATCACCACATTATCATACAAAACAGTTTTATTACTTTCACATTTACAAATATACGTGTTACTCACAATAACATTCAGAAAAAGCCAGAGTTCTGCAGACAAGAACAAAGAAAATAAATCAGATATAGATAATTCAAGAATATATTAACAGTAATAAAATCATTAATACATTAGCTAAAAACTGAAGTTTGCTCCCAAGCCAGCGTTCATCCTTCTGTAAACATCTAGGTCCTTCTTGAGGCACTCACTGGTGCCTCAGTGAAAGCTATGGCTGAATAAACAAAATAGATTTATGCAAAAATGACAGAGATAGGAGAATTTCTAAGAAGAGACGGCATCATACAGATATGGGAGCAGGGTGCTCGTGAATACAGCCAGGACAGCAGTGCAGAGAATCATGAACAAACAAATCACATTCCATGCAAAATGCATTCTGACACACTTTACATATGTAAACCTGCATAGAAAAGATAGAAAAACAAGTCAAATTAGAAAAAAATTATGATCACAACACTACACCAAGGCAACAGTTGTGCCAAGACAGTGTAAATAGACTACATTGCTAACATCACAGAAACCCTACTGAATTAAAGTTTCTAACAGCAAGCATGTCCAAAGGTTTGAGCTTGAGGGGCATTTGGGACAATTCAGGGCATTTTGGGGTCATCTGTGGCAGTTGGGTAGATTTGGGGTAATTTGGGGTTTTTTTGGGCAGGATTTGAGAGTTTTGGGGGGATACAGGGTATTTTGGGTGTTTTGGCATGAATCAGGGCATTCTGGGGTGTTTGGGGTTATTTGGGAGCAATTCAGGTTGTTTTGGAGTTATTTGGGAGCAATTCAGGTTGTTTTGGGGCATTTTAGGGTGATTGGGGTGGTTTGGAGCAGTTTGGGGTTATTTTGGACATTTGGGGGTGATTTGTCGGCATTTTGGGGGGACTGGGTATTGTGGGGTGCTTTGGTGTCATTTGGTGGTTATCCTGGGCCATTTTGGGGCACTCTGGCCTTATTTGGGGGTTATTTTGGGGTCATTTGGGGCATTTTTGAGTCATTTGACGTATTTTGGGGCTTATTTATAAAACTCTCTAGGAAATCCCTTCCCATACTCTTACAGACTTTGCAGTCTAAAAGGTATGACTCTGTAACAAAGAACTCTAGTTAACCGTGAGATAAACTTCCACAAATATTTTTCTGGTCTTTAGAAGACTATACTAAAGGATCACCTCTACTTCTGACACGCCTCAATGAAAATTCCAATGCAGTTCAACGTACTTACATTTTGATCTTTCATTTCTCCCTGGCAGCCTTGACAATACCTAAAAGCAAAATAGTGTATTTTAACTGAAAATAAAAGTCAAATTGTATAAAACTGGGTCTAATCTCATACATAGTAACAATTATGACAATTATTTCAGCTATTGAGCATAACATACAGATCACAGAATCATAGAATAGTTTGGTTGGAAAGGATCTTAAAGATCATGTAGTTCCAACCCCCCTGCCATGGGCAGGGACACCTTCCACCAGACCAGGTTGCTCAAAGCCCCACCCAGCCTGGCCCCGAACACTTCCAGGGATGGGGCAGCCACAACTTCTCTGGACAACCTGTGCCAGGGCCTCACCACCCTCACCATGGAATTGCTTCCTGATATCTAACCTAAATCTTCCCTCTTTCAGTTTAAGGCATTGTCCCTTGTCCCATCACTCCATGCCCTTATAAAAAGTCCGTCCCCAGCTTACTTATAGGTCCCTTTAGGTACTGGAAGGCTGCTCTAAGGTCTGCCCAGAGCCCTCTCTTCTCCAGGCTGAACAACCCCAACTCTCTCAGCCTGTCTTCACATGGGAGGTGATGGGAACTACAAATATTTCTTATTGCCAGAGGTGCCCCAAAATGCCCATTTAGCAGTGTCTCCACCAGCAAAGAAGCTGCTGCCAGCTACTCTTACTTTCATGACAAAAAAATTACAGGGTCCACAAGTACACTCATTATCACAAATATGATTGCATACCGTTCCCCCTGATATTCTTCCAAGGGAACTTCCTGAAAGGCATCCAAAGGAAACAAGTGATGGTAAGACCGAGCCAGGTGAGGTGCAGATACTAATGTAAGACCTGCAAATAAAGACACATAAAAATTATTACAAGAGAGGACTTACTGAAAAGCTTTTCTGTATGAAACAAAGCAAAAAGGAAGATTTTTTAATTCTCAGTGGTTCAGAGCTTTTAAAAATTAAAGAACAAAAAATGATTTGTTCATTAGCTTCCATAATCTGAACCTGTAATTCTTTCCAGAATTAAACCCAAATAAAAAGAACAAGCAAATTGCCCAAATTTCTAAATAAAAGGTTTAACTCAGTCTTTAGAAGTACATTTATAATGCACAGTTGTAAATTTAGCGCTAATTTTTCATTCTTGTGCCATAAACAAAATGCAACCATAGAAAAATCTTCCAATTAAATCTAAGTGTACAACTCCCCCTTGGTAACAATTGTTCTGCTGTTTCACATCACCAGTTAAAAAGGTGCCCAACTACAAAGCTCTCCTGCAGCCTGCTATAGTACTGCTGAAGCCATGCCATAGCCCTGTTTCAGCTAACAAAGGTCTGCTGGTTTTGGTTGGGACATAGTTAAATGTCTTTGTAGCTGGTATGCGGCTATGCTTACAGAGTCAAGGCCTCTTCTGCTTCTCACACTGCCCTGCCAGCGAGTAGGCAGGGTGTGTGCAAGGGGACACAGCTGGGACAGCTGACCCCAAACGACCAAAGGGATATTCCATACCGTATGAAGTGCTCTGCAATAAAAGCTGTGGAAAGAAGGCGGAAGGGGGAGGACATTCAGAGTGATGGCATTTGTCTTCCCAAGTAACAGTTACACGTGATGGAGCTCTGCTTTGCTGGAGATGGTTGAACACCCGCCTGCTGACGGGAAACAGTGAATGAATTCCTTACTTTGCCTGGCTTGTATGCATGGCTTTTGCTTTACCTATTAAACTGTCTTTATCCCAACTCACAAGTTTTCTCACTTTTACCCTTTCGATTCTCTCCCCCACCCCACCCAGGGGTGGGGAGCGAGTGAGTGGCTGTGTGGGGCTTAGATGCCAGCTGGGGTTAAACCATGACAACAGGTTAGCTCGGGCACGGGCTGGCACAAACTTATTCATCGCTTACTCACATGCAGTGTAAACTTCTGAGCTCTTGTTCTGCTGACAGCTGCAGCTGTGCAGGATCTGTTTCTGGTAACATAGGATTTCTCCTGTTAACTATAACCTTGCTGAAATGAAACTCATGCCGCTATGAAAACACTGAAACTAAACTACGACAAGGTAACCCTAGAATTATTTTATCCTCTTGTCAAATACTGGCATCTTGATAATACATATCACATTTTAGTCATATGCCTGTAGCAGCTGACAGGAGGTGTGGTGATGCAGCCCCCTCCTCAGGCCACTCTGACATTTCAGAATAAGCCTTACATGCTCCCATTGTGCTGTTATGTTGGTTGCAAATACAGTAGCCTGGGGATGAGGCATCAGGCACTCCCTGGTCAGACCTGGGCCATCTTCTGCCTGCATTATATACCAGAATGAACTAGCACAAATTGTGAGCATAACAGAAAATACTGGTCAAAGCCAATCACCTCAAGATCCTATAAAGAGCAATCCAAAGTGAGACCCTTTGAGCAATGTGGGACCACAGCAGGCTGTGTGACCCACTATGTCCTTGAGCTAGGGCCCCCTCTCAGGGCAGATTTTGCCAGGACTGAAAGTTTGTTGATGACTTTGTGAGGACTCAAAGGCCTGATTTCATGAGGTTCGCTGACCATCCATTGATGAATGCCAGCAAATAAAGTAATTCATGAAACTCATGAGAAGGGTAACTTTAATCACAGGTTAACCCCTCCGTGTGTGTGTGTGTGTGTACAATTTGATTCAGAACTGTTGGTCTGTGTGCGTGTTGACTTGATTTAACCTCTGTCTGTGTGTGCAACCCTGCTGTAAGTTTTGGGTGATCTTGCTATTGTCAAACCTTTAACTAACTAATTTTGATTTTAAGAAATTCTATCGAATCTTTTTGTTAAATTGGCTGATAATTAAGTTACAGACCCTAATCTTGTGCAAAAATATTAATAAATCCTAAATTGCTGCTAAACCAAAGCTGTGTAAAAAATCATATTCATGACAGTGATATAAAGGATTGTTAAAGGATTGTACATGCACATAGAATCCTTCAGAAATAAACTGCTGACCAAGTCTGGGACTAAGTCTGGATCTAGCTGCACCCAGACTCCTCCCTGAGAAGAAGTCTAGAAAGCAACAGGGTCCTTTCTGAACCTCATGACTCAACAGGGGGGTCTCCTTGACAGTTTTGTCTGACCATGTCCTCTATGCAGCAAATGATCAATCTTGTTAAACCACTGATGCATTTACTATCAAGCTTTGTTGAAGCGCTGTTTTGAAAATATTGCTACTTCTCTCTTACGAGTGAAGTGCATCACTCCATCTGCGACAGGAGGACAGCTGTTGCTCGCATAATACTAACACTATTAAAAATGCTAATCCTCCGTCCCGCCCTCATTAAGAGGTGTGGGGAGGGACCACTGCTTGTACAGTCCAATAACATTTGCAAGACCGAAGGCCTTCCATTTACAACTCTATAGCCTTTCATGTCTCACTGTGCAGCCTGCCCTTGGGTTCAACTTCGAAACTTTTCATCAACATACTCCTGGAGGTGAGGGGTCCTTCTGTCCTTTTACTCCAAAGCACTTTTTATCTTCATGGCCCTGCACTGAGGAGTCTGAAACACTGGTGTGTCTGTTAAGTCACAATTCTTGTGGAAATTATTACTCATATGTGAATCACCCTTCTTCCCCTCTCTGCTTTAAGGCTTTTAGTTTATAACATTATACTAGAGAATATGAAACAGCTTTACTGTTACAGGTATTGTTCTGAAAGTCCCTTGTATGAAGGTGACATCCCAGAACAGAGGAATGCAGGCTTCTTAAAGCAAAGCTGCCTTTTATTTCCTAAGTACAGCTGAATTTTTCTATCCCTTAACTCTCATACCACTAACCCGTAATTCATCTGCTCACCTTTTCTTGCTACTCACCACAGATTTTGCATTCCACAGGAAGTTCACAGTATTTGGCTCTGCACTGGGGACAGAAATATCCACCCAGTGTAAGACCGGGCTCACTGTTGTTTTCCAATTGCCTAGAGTAAAGAGAAGTACTTTAAAACCTAAAAGACAACACCACAATACTACATAACTACAAATACCACACGGTTCTCACAACAAGTATTTTAAAAAGTTTCAGGAGCTTCCATGGAACAGTTCCATATCTACAGAAGTGTCAGAAAGCAATTCATATGGTCAGACATCAGTAACCACATCTTCCCACAGAAACAGAACAAAGACCAAATTTTCCCACATAAAGGAGTCACTATATCTTTACAAAAATAAAGTTATCAAAGGTAACAGCATTAGTATTTCTACTCACACACACACAAATATTCTGTATCGACGTTAGGATGCACATTAGTACTTATTCTTTCAAACAGCAGATACTGTTTCCTTCTGAAAATTGAGACTTCCCTATCATCCCTGAAAACTATGATTCCTTTCACTGAGAACAGCACTGGTACACTAATCAAATGAGGCCTCCATTGTAAACTTGCCTTTAAAGTTGCATTAGTAAATAGATAAAAAATACTTTATTCCAGATAATACCATTCATCCTCATAATTGTCTTTACAGTGATAAAAATAGTTGAACCAAGCAATGCAAGTAAAATTGGTAGTAACTACTAATATCTTGTAGCACCCTTGTGTTCTAACTAGTGCACAACACAACTAAAAGCCATTTATTACCTTCAAAAAATTCTAAATGTAAATTTTAAAAAGCATATTTAACAGAGGTAACTACGGCCACATACTGGATATGCAAATGAAAACAAAATTTCTACTGAGAAGTCACAAGACATTACTTACTATTTTTTTCGTGTTATTTTGCAGTATTTTCACTGACAAGCAGATTTTCAAAATATGTCTAATATTGATTGAATTCTAATCAGCTCATTGAATTCAATCAACTCTACTTACGCCATGCTAAAGGATGGTTTTGCATCTTGATCAGATAGAGAAGCAATAGTGTGCTGAGGAAAACCTGAAGAGAAAAACATTCCTTATGACCAGTTTTAAAAAAAGCAAGTAATCTTTCCGTTTCTTACCTGAATGGAGAAATTCAAAGATTCTAAATATGAAGGCCTGCCTCTTTTTTTGTTTGTTTGTTATTACAGGAGAAGTAATACACTCTTACTAGGTATCAAATTCTTCCTGAAGGTCTCTAACTACATCCACCAACGAATTCCCTCATTGTATTTCCCCCAACTGGAAGAAATCTTTCCATAGACTTCGTATTAACTGAAGCTCACTGGAACCTCATTTTTGAAGAACAGCTAAAAAGAAAATTATGCGCAATGGTAGGAAAGCAGAAAGAGTGCTATATGAATATTCACTTGAACAATGGCTTCTAATTAAGGGGAAAATATTTTTATATGCAGATGCCAAGCATATATTCACCTTCCAAGTGCAGCATGTGACAGATGAGACTGTACCACTTTACGGAGGCTGTAACAGATAACATTCTTTCTACCACTTATTTTGCACAGCTCACGTGAAGTGGGCAGTTAATTTTTCCGACTGCTGCTCAGGCTTTACCTGTAACAGGTAACTCTCTTCAGAATTTAAATCCACACATAAAAATACATACATTCTTATCTGTGAAAACAGCTGGATAAAAGCAAGAAATCAATGCTCTAATTCATGGCATTAGAGTTCCTATTCTGGTTTAATTCCAAACTTAAATTTATTGAGAAATACATCAGGAGAAGAAAAGGAACCCAATCCATTTGTTGAAAAAACACCACAACAGTGCTCCTAATGAACATGTACTATATGGCCAAACAGATGGCTCTTACAGTCAATTAAACTTATAACAGTTGCCTTCTGTGGGAAAAAAACCAAAACACAGAGGAATAAACAAAATAGTTTTTCATCCTTCATTTCTAAGTATTACATTTATAGCTATTACTATACAAGCAATATCCTTCCACTTTATTGTTTCTAACCGCAGTTGAGTAATTTGTCTTGTTTTAATTCTTAACTTTATTTAAGAGCTGACTACTTTGCAGGAACAACACCAAGAAAATTGGTATCTATTTAGCAAATAAAAGTGAAAAAAAAAGTGCAATGCCTTTATTCTGCTTTTAACTATTTGTCTGGCTTTAACACAGAAAATGCAAAGAAAGACAAAGTCAAGATTTGCAAATGTTGTGTTAGGACTTTAACAAAACCATATCCTACCCATTCGAATAAGGGAGCACTCAGAACTTGAACCAGCAGGTGGAGGACTAACATGATGCATCAGCAGTTCCTTATAATGACTTTCATCTAAAATAATGCGGTATGTTCCTGTCATGAAGAAAGAAACACACTGCTCTTCAGATTATGAGCAGATAAGAATACAGATATATTCTCCAAATGACAGAAAACCACTGAAGTAAAAAAAAACCAAACAATTTAGCCCACCCTGTTCCTAAAAAACAGTCCTGTTAACGCTACTGAAAATGACAAGTTTTAAAATTAATAACACCAGAATGTTTAATTAGATATGAAGGCTCACAGCTCTTTCTGCAACATTACACTGTAGTAATGATATTGTAAGAGTTACTACTGTAGTAATTGATATCAACACGTTACATTAATTAAGTTCCACATCACATAGCTCTATATGTGGAACACTAGGTTTTAAAATATTGCTTCTCTCTAGAGATGCAACTTCAGCTGATAATAATCTCACTAAATACTGTGTATTTTGTGGATTTGGGAAACCCTTAAATCTTCTGCCAGCACAACAGAATATTAATCCTTAAATATAAAAATGCATTAATGAATATATAACAAATCAGTTACTTAATTTCTATTTTAAATTTGTATTAGTTGCACAACTATTGAACTTCAGATACATACCACCAGTTTCTCGGGCAAGTACTGTACAAACTCGGACTTCAGCACTTAGGCCGATGACAGATACTCTGATCTTAACTGCTTTTAAACACTTCAAATGGAAAAAGAAAGCATACTCAAATTCATATGCAGAAAAGAAAACAGTAAAAAGGTTCAAAGTTTCAAATTAAAATTAACTGGTGATGACACTGCAACTGTCTGGTTTTAGTCTAATGGTTTGGATGTTCAATGTAGTAGTCAAACTTCACTGCTGTACCTTAATTAGATCATAGATGTTGGCTGGATCACATGTCGTTAGACTGCTGAAGACTATCAAGACCTCTCTGCTTGTATGTCCTGGCATATGCCTAAAGAAAGTATATAGTTAATTTATTTCTGTACACTAAGCTACTTGTACACTAAAGTTTCCAAGGACTGTAACGTATTAAAGTCAGAAGATGACATGATAGAAGTCTCCTAGAAATTATAAAACTGTGGTAAGATCCTTCTCTGAGCACGAGAATTTCACCTTCCAAAAGCCAACTCTTTCCAGTATCTAAAATACAGTATCTGATTGCGTCATCATCTGATTGTTTGCTCTAATGCTTAAGTTATCCTTGTACCTTATTCATACTCTGCTGGGTAAAATTCACCTTCCAACTAGCAACACTGCAGTAAGCCTTCCTGACTTCTAAAATAAAAATCTCTAATCAGTTTATAGGTGTAAATCCATTACTTGTAACTATTGTCTTTTAGTTCTTAATGGTAAACTCTCTTCCAACTACTCAAAATAATTTTTTATGACATTGAACATTAGCTTTGTTCTGTTAGTGTTTCTAGCTATAATTATTTGTTAAACCAGACTTCCACAAGTGTTTATCCCATCTCAATACCTCACATGGCAAAAAAGTTCTTTATATCTATCCTACCTGAAAATTTACCTTTCTAAAGTATACCAAAACTCCCACTAGGTTATTGTGATTCAATGCTGTTTCTTTTCCTGTTCTCTTATCATTACTAACCCCTAACTCTGCCCTCTCTCATACCTTAGCCCTCTAGTAAAAAACAATTGCAGGGTCTTTCACCATATTCATATGCAACAAAAGATCACTTACTTCGTTTTAAAATATTGTTGCTTTTTATAAGCAGCACAGCTCTAAATAGAGGCACCTTATGTTAGAAAATTAACTTCTGCACTACTAGCATATTTAACTTCTTAACAGTTTATATTGTAAGAGGACATAAAGCTGCCTTTTAAAGACTCAAGTCAGCACAATGCAAGATGCTACCTGTAAAAAATACTGTCTTTGCCCCTTCAAAAATTCACAATCAGCATTATACTGACTACGGAAAACAAAGAAAACAAAAAACTCCATGTATATACTAACTTCAAAGTCTGCATGGCCAAACTTAGGGAATTATATAGAGACGGCTCTCCACTGCAGTTCATATCCACTGCTTTCTTCAGAGCAGTTATGTGCTTTTTTGAGTTACCTGTAAGTGAAAAAAACAATTCACCTGAAATAACAAGTTAAAAGAACTGAAATATTTAAACTGCATATTTAATGAAGTGTATGTGTACAACAACAGTTTTCAAACTGTGACTTGTAACTGTGTTTCTCCTTAGAAAATGACCTCTTGATCAGAAAGCAGAAAACAATAAAAAAAATATATTAACAGAAAGACATTTACTCTACGTCAACTGTTAGAAACTTTAAGAAGGCAAAAAGAATAAAATCACTGTTGCGTATCATTAAGCATTGAACATGACTGTGAAGTGTCCCACTAAGTGTTTCAGCAGAAACAGAATTTTGTTTCCTCTTTTATCCTCAAAGTACTGTTCAAGGATTGATTGATCCTCAAATTCCTCAATAAAGTTAGTCCAGTTTTACAGGTGAATAAAGAGAAAAAACTAAGACTTCATCTCTGAAGCCACACGGATTGCTAGTGATAGAAAGCAGGAACCAGAGAAACCTTGCTTCTTAATATCTGATCAGATCGCACAGAACACACAGATGTCATAAAATACAAAATTAACCAATAGGGTGAGAAATTAACTACAGGGGAAACAAAACATATTTTAGTTCCAATCTGGGTAAGATTTGATCAGGAACACGCAAGTGACAACAATTCGAGATCAAACCAGATCAAAAGAGAGACTCTGGTTTCAGATAACTTGCAATAACTTCTCTTTTAAACTAAAAATACTGTGTTAATGCTACTTCACTTTCAGCAGCGTCATCCAGGTAGAACTTAAAACATCAATGCAAGAGATGAAAACATCTCCAATGTAAAAAAATATAATACGCTCCTACCTGAAAGTTCTGTCATTTTTTCAGCTCTTTTACTCTTAGTTACAATTAAGCCAATCTGGAGAAGGGGGGAGGGGAAAAAGGCAAAACTTTTCTTAGCAAGTTTAAAAATAAGTTGATTTACATTTTTGTTATATTTTGCCTAATACTTCTTTATGGATCAGCATTACTTAACTATTCAAATTTTCTTGTAAGTGTAACAACAGCAGCATAACACTATACATCAGTTAACATACATTCCTGTATTTCCAGTACTTTTGCCACAAGATACAAAAATAAATCTTCTAAAATTCTAAATGCCTGGAGAAAAAAAAAATAGATCAAGTCTTCTGTGTTAGAATTTATGTTTAGGAAAAAGGGAATAGACGTATTCTTATTTTCATTAGTTCAGGCTGAAACAAGAATTTCACCAGACTGATGAGGAAGGGATGGGAAGGAATACATCAACTGAAAACATTTTACTAGATAGCGTTAAAACTAAAACTAACTTTTAAAATAGTTTTCAGTCACTTATTTCTTGCATGGTTGTACATACCTGACTAATAGGATTTTGATCAAAGTACTCTTCAACAAAATATTCCAATAACTATAAAGAAAAGTTAAGACCATTAAAAACTAAATACAGTTTTATTCCACATGCATTAAGTATGTATTGCTTGCAAAACATCTGGTATTATTTAAAACAAAAAAAGTTGGGGAAAAAAAAAAAGGGGGGGGGGAGGAATGAGCCCTTCCTTTCCATTCTCCTTTCACCCTACTCCTTCCATCCTTCTCCTTCCTTCCATGTTACCAGTGCAATGTAAATTCCAGAAACGAGTCACTCATTTTATTCACTTCACATGTTAAAGTTCTAAGTTACTGTTCGTTCAAATGGAGGTTTACAATACACTAAAAAGCACTAATCCGTACAAAATCATCAAAAAACAGGACTTTAAATCTTAGTGTTGTTGGAGAACATCATATAGTACAAGATATACAGTTCAGGTCCTCCACAGTCTGAAGCAGCAATCCAATTCAACTCCTGTCTAGCATCCATTCCAACCAGAATTCATCAGAACATAAGTGTAAGAAAAAAAAATTTCTAGACATGTAATGAAAGCTTATTTTTTTTCCTTCTTTCATTCTTTATTACCGGTAACACTTCAGCTTAATTTCCACATAGTTTTTACAATTTGGCTTTCCATAATATGTCCTTACAAAGTGTTTTTACCATACAGAAGCACTCGTGCAAGGCAAACTAATGTCACACAGATTTTACTATACAAAACCCAGGAAAATTACAGACTAGCAACAGAAACAAGGGGAAAAAAATAGGGATGAGAGAAGAGATGAGTCACAGGAGACCACCTTTCTTTTAAATGCAAAATGGAACTGGTTTACAGAGAAACAGTGGATTGATAAGAGAAAAGTTTTGAATACAAAAATACCTTTAAAGTGCAAGTAAGTCTGTTTGGTTTTAAATCTTGGTCTTCCATAGTTCTTGATCCATCAACAACCACGTAAAGGTGACGCATCTGCATTTTCACCATAAGTTATAGTCACTCGCAGAACAGGTATTTAAATTAACTGTTCGTTATTCCATTTACTTAAAAAAGCAACTACTTCCTCCCTCAAACAGGGAAATTTCAGCATACTGAGCTATGCAATCAACAGCAAGTGAAAGAGTAATTAATTTTTTCCACTTGTCCTTCAAAATGAAAAAGACTATCTTGAAAATTCACACTGCTCTTTTCCTTTCATAACCTAAAAAATATGCATAGTTTGCACTTTCACCTCTTCATCTGAAGTGCTCAGTGTTGTACAAAGTAATGTTGTTATTTACAATTCACTTACATTATGCCTATTTTTCACACGAAGAAAAATCGACAGTGCAAGTGTGTGTGATTTAACTGCTGTTGCAAAACATATCCTGATACAGCGAACATGCCAAACCTCCACCTCTGAATACTCATGCTTCACATCCCACACTGCCAATGAACAAAGAATGTTTTAAAAAAAAAAAAAGGTGGAAAACGCAAGCTTTGGTCTTAAGCACATTAAGTCAGCAAAAACGTATTTCAGACTGGGCATACCACCTCCGTTCAAGTAGTTTTGGACTCAGGACAGACAAGGGTTAAGACATTAACATACCATTCCAAGTCGAACTTGTCCATGGTGTTCATAGAGTCTAACAAAACACAAAAAGATTTAAGATGCAAATGAATGAATCGTCCCTCAAACAAAAGTCTGGAACAAATCCGATACTAGACTTCCAGCAAATGTGAAGCAGTAACAAACAGACACTTGTTTACAATTCACCTACAAACACATTTCGTGACTCTCAGAAGACAAACAAAAACTATTTCTAACTACCAGGTTTAACAGAACTTTAACATTTTATCCAAATTTGAATATTTTAACATAATCCAAAATAAAACAAATCTAGATATTATCCAGCAATTTTTCTGACAATTTGAAACACAAATCTGGTGCCATGATACCAAAACCCAGGTGGAAGCATGATTTGTATATAAAAAAAAAAAAAGGAAGGATTTTCTCTAAGCAGTGCAAGTTGCAGTTGTAGTACTTTGCACCATGTTTCATTGGATCGAGACTTCAACTCCTTAGCTAGCATAAATCTGCGGTACCTAGCATATATACATCCAGTCTTAGGATTAAAAATAAATTTTACTATTTTTTCTAGTACAATTAATACGTAGCAGACAAGATGCAAGTATCTGGAGCTCTGAAAGGGTAAATCCACAGAAATACGTTGCACACGCGTCAATATGCTTACTCAATGTAGAGCACCCAGTTTCAGAATGATTAAGTCCCTACAGCTGACCAAACCAGTACTATTCGAAGGCTCGTGGCAACACATAATACCTTTTCCTCTTTGCTTTGAAAAGATTGTCCTCGATGGTCGCTTTCAGCGATCCGGATTCATCTTCTTTCAGAATTTCCCTACGCAAAACAGACTGTTATTAAGCAGAAGGGAG